TGATTCAACTGCAGGCCTCCCAGAATCAGCCCCTGCTGATCGTGCTGTTCGTTTGGACCTGCAATGGCATGCGCAAGGTATTGCAGCCATTGGCCTACAAGAATCTCGGCGAAACGAGGGCAAAATTCAAACAGATCACTATGTTGGCTTTGCTTCCGGCGCACAAATTTGTGGCAAGGCTCATCACTATGGCTGTGAGTTATGGCTCCACAAGCACCTTGCTATTGATGAAGATGGGTGCCTGACCTTTTCTCACTTCAAGGCGGCAGTAGTAGTTGCTGACCCCCGACGATTGGTCGTGAACCTGTCACACCCCCAGCTGAATGTCTCATTCGTAGTCTTACACGTTCCCTGCAAGTCTAGTTCCTTTTCCTTGGAACAGCTGGCAGCCTGGTGGCAAGACACTCGAACTCTGCTACAGCAGGCACGATTAGCATCTTTGACATGGTGTATGATTGATGCAAACGCCCCGCTTGCGTCTGAGCCAACTCAGTTCTTTCAGATGCATGGGGCTGAAGTCTCGAATGCACAAGGCCGTCTATTTGAAGAGGCACTGCGCTACATGGAATGGTATGTTCCGACCACGATGTCTTGGGCGCATCATGGCCCTCATTACACCTGGACTCATCCCAGAGGGTCCCAGTTGCGGCGCGATTATGTCGCCTGCTCCAGAGCGGCGTTCGAATGGTGCTCCCGGACCTGGGTCGATGTCTATTTTGATGGTGGATTTGGACATGATGACCATTATCCAGTGGTCATGCAATGCCACGGATGGTTGAGGGACCGATCATGCAACCGCAAGACTCAATGGGACCACCTTGCCTTCGTAGACCCAGTCAAGTGTCATCAGTTTCGGGAAGCCGTCAAATCGCTCCCCATACCAGACTGGAGTACACACGTTGATTCGCATGCCGACATAATGGAGCAAAATTTCTTGGCCTTGGCTCAGCAACATTTTCAAAAGAATCAGCATGATCGCATGCGCCCGCGCCTTTCTGAGTTCACCAGGAATTTTATTCAGTTCAAACGCTCATGTCTCGACTATGGTCGCACCAACTCCTTGATGCATGATGATTCCTTTCGCATGCAGCTTCGGCACTTGGAGAAAGAAGTCCGTACAAAAGTCCGACATGATCAACGTGATTTCTATGGCCAGTTAGTCCAGGAACTTGCCACCGCCGGTGAGCTCCATGACTCCCGGCACATGTACAAGTTGCTTACCAGACTTGGTGGCCGTAAATCTGCAAAAGCTGATGCAAAAGCACTTCCGATCCTCAAGGTGCAAGGGGTTCCTGTACGGTCATTCACTGAGCAGCAGAAACTTTGGATGAAGCAATTTTCCGATATCGAAGCTGGCAATATCATGGCACGCAGTGAGTTTCATCGTCATCTTCCTGCATGTCTTGGTATTCCTCATGAGGATATCTCCATTGACGCGTTTCCTGCTCTCCCTGAAATTGTGCAGCAGATCCACCGTCTGAAACGTGGTAAAGCGCCTGGGCCCAACGGATTACCACCGGATGCTTTGAAGGCTGGCTCTCATGAAATCGCGCAGCATCTTGTTGTTTTAACTACCAAGATTGCAGCTCATGGTCGCGAGCCGGCGGCATGGCGCACCGGAAAGCTTATCCCCCTTCACAAAGGGAAGTTGGCCAAAAGCGACCCCACTGGATACAGGTCGATCTTTCTGAGCAATTTTACCACAAAAATCTACCACTCCGTGCTCCGCAAGCACCTCGTGCAGGCTTGGTCTTCCGTCATGACCCACCTCCAGATTGGCGGCCGTAAGGGCCTAGGGTGTGACTCTGCCCACCACATCATACAGGCTCATATCGCTTACGGTCAGACCAGCAAGCAGCCGAGTGCCATTTTGTTTGTAGACTTTAAATCTGCATTTTACAGCGTCCTGCGGCAAGGCCTCTTTCAGGACGATATTGATGCCACGTCTTTCATGATTGCAATGCATCGACTTGGTATTCATCCACAGCAAATTGAGACTCTACTGCAGCATGCGCACTCTGAAGCAGCCATTTCCAACATTCCGCCTCATGCCATGCGGTTGTTGCACGACATGTTGCAAGCCACATGTTTTGAAATGGAAGGTCTTTCCGAAGTCGCGGTCACCACCAGAGGCACCAGGCCAGGGGATCCCATTGGGGATATTGCCTTCAATCTTGTCATGGCAGCGCTCCTCAAAGATGTCTCTGAGTCCATTCGACCCAGCAACGCCGTTTGGGAGGGAGCACCTGCTGTTGTGCAAGACTTTACCCAAACAACATCGCCAGCATCGACTGCTTGGGCAGAAGTCGCTTACGTGGATGACCTAGCCATACTACTGCGCGCCCCCACCAATCTGCAGCTGCTTGACATGGCCCACCTTGCCACATGTGCCGTTTTTCAGGCGGCACATTGCCGTGGATTAGAGCTTACAGTTGGAGAAGGGAAGACAGAACTCCTTTGGGCGTTGCGTGGAGAAGGGAAGAAGAAGTTGCAGATGCAAGTTGCCCAGGACCAAGGTCATGTTCCGGTCATCCTCCCTGAACGTGAACAACCTCTCCCTTTGCCGGTTGTATTAGCATATAAACACCTAGGCACGTGGGTTCAAAATGACGCAAAGTCACTTCGGGCAGTTCGTGCGCGCCTACACGCTGCCCGACAAGCGTGGGGGCCGCTGGTTCGTCCTTTCCTGTCCAAGAAAGGAGTGCTCCAAAAGACAAAGACCCAAGTGTTTGAATCGTTGGTACTTTCACGTTACATGTTCAATGCCCATACTTGGAGCTTGGTGTCACAGTCGCAGCTGAGTGAGTGGGAAGCCGGACTTCGGCCAATGTTGTATGCACTTGCACGCCCCCTACTACGTGGTCAGCCTCCTTTCACGTTAGACGTTCAGATCTTGTGTGGACTCTGCAATTTGCTTGCTCCTAGTGACATGTTGCATTTGGCGAGGCTGCGTTACTTCAAGAGACTTTTGCAGCATTGTCCGGCCATCTTGTGGCAGTTGCTCAATGCCACAGCCTCCCATGACGGGTCGTGGTTTGCTCATTTGCAAGATTCTTTCCAGTGGTTGTGCCGTTTCAGCGGGGTACACTTTGGTTTTACTGGAGAAACACACTTGCATGAATGGTGCAGTTTTGTTGCCATTGATCACAGATGGAAGGGGCGCCTTCGACGTGCTATGGCCTCATGTCGCAGGTACCGTGCGGAAAATGCGAAGCACGCAATTTGGGATGTCTGGCTCCAAAATTCTTTGACTCGCCTAGGGATTACTGCAACCCTTTCCCAACCTACCGCGCAGCCAGCCATGTGGCAGTGTCAATTGTGCTCAGAGCAGTTTGGCTCCCGCAGGGCCCTGGCACAGCATGCCGTCAAGAAGCATGGATATGTGACCCTGGTCAAGCACTTTGCGTTTGGTAGCACTTGTGCCAACTGTTGCCGACTTTTCCACCACAGAGTTCGTTTGTGTTGTCACCTCCGCACCTCTGTTGATTGCCTTGAGCGAACCCGTGCAGCCTTTCCACCATTAACCCCAGACAACCTTCGGGCGCTGGGTGAAGATGACAGGATCCATGCCAAGACGATGCGCGATCAAGGCTGGTTAGCTACCAAGGCTCAGTTGCCTGCCCTACATGGTTACGGCCCCCCGCTGCCGCCTCCGGGCTCCGCAGCGGCCAAACTTATGTTTGACAAATGGGCCGTTCGCATTGACCCAGGTTCTGAGTATGCCTTTGAGAGCCTGGACGGCATTTGCCTTCATGCAGGATCTGATGATTCCGAGCCGGCTGACGCTGATGGTCCCAATGATGGCCCAGCAGAGATGGTTTTTGTGATGCATTCTGACTGCGGTGCCGAGCATGGTCATGCAGGGTGCTTTTCCAACAAAGGCCTGGCCACTCTGTATGCGCGGTTGCATATTCGCACAATGTGCTTTATTCATTTTTTCTCAGGTTTTCGCCGAGAAGGTGATTTGCAATCGCAGATTGAGCGGCATTGGGTTCAAGGAATACACCACATCTTCTGCATCTCAATAGACTACTGCCTTCAGGGCAGTCAAGGGGATTTGTCTTCGCCCAAGAATCTTGCCTTTTGGAAAAATCAGGTATGCAATGGTGCCATCCTGGGAATGGGAGGGGGTCCCCCTTGTGAGACTTTCTCTGCGGCCAGATTCCTGGAAGGGGGACCCCCTCCCCTGAGGTCCTCTTCGGATTATTGTGGATTGCCGTCGAATTCCGACAGACAGTGGGATCAAGTTTCTCTGGGAACAGCGTTGATGCGCTTTTTGTTGGAGATGATGTATTACTGTTCCCTGTCTGGAGCCTGTGGGTTTCTGGAGCATCCGGCTTTCCCAATTTGGGCCATGCAGCACTCTCCCGCGAGCACATGGGCGCTCACAGCAGTTCGTTGGTTGCGGCGGCTCAATTGTGTATCTATTGCAACATTCGACCAATGCATCTTTCAATGTGAGGGTAAGAAACCAACTTCGCTCCTCCTTGTGCGTCTCCCACACTTGCGAGAGGCGATTTTGAAACTTGGACGTGGCGGCAGGTGTCCTCATGCGCCACGTGCCCATCCCTCTTTGAAAGGTCGCGGTGATGATGGATCCTTTCGCACCTCTTTAGCGAAGGTGTATCCACCAATGATGAATGCTGCCATTGCGGAGGCCATAATTCAGTTTGCATGCGCGACTTTTGTGCCAGGGGAGCAGCAAGAGGCTGTTCCCGAGAGCGTCGCCCAGCATGCACGCATGGATTTTGTGCCCTTGTCGGTAGTTCAACCTGACTACTACGAGGGCTTGTAAAGTTGCGTCATGCTTGTGCAAGTTCCAAGCAAGAACCGACTTGCAGCAGCTCGAAAGGAAAAAGGTTCCCAGTGAGGAAATGGCCGGTTTTTGAAACCTTTGGGGGTCCAGCTCGGTCCAACCAATCTCAAGTTGCGAATGGCCCATGAGATCCCCATTTTTCCCACGAGATACCCCCAGCCCTTTCGGCGCCGATCCAAGTGGCATTCAGGCACAAAGCTGAGGAGCAATCGGCGATGGTGCCCTCCTAGGTTCCGCTGGGATACCCTACGGCAACCATGGGAAATCCCGGAGGAAAAATGTTTTCATGGGAAAATCATTGGAAAGTCATGGATGGGACACACCACTATGAATGGAGGTTTTAATGCAACATCGTAGGAAAATAATGGAAAAATTGGAAACATATGGGAGACACCACTATAAATGGAGGTTTGTTTCAATGGGAAAGTTGTCTATAATTGGTAGATTTTCCAGCAAGCAGCGTTTGACCACCGGAGGGTAATGGTTTCTTTAATGTAGCCAGACCAAGTAGAAACATTGCTATATAAATCTATGCGTTTGTCTTAGATACCCTGCGAGTCTTAGATACCCTGCGAAAGATAGTCAATTCACTATACGTAGGTTCATCTATATAACATTCTATTTTCCCGCCTAGAAAAATAATGAAAAAAACACCGAATGACCCAGAATTGATCTAAAAAGATGTTGAACCAGGCAATAATTATGATGTCATGATGGTCACACATATTTATGCAGCTGAACGATGATAGTATCCGGGTGAAACTACTGTGTTTCACCACCCTGCACTCTGATCTTCTGATCTTCTGGTTCTGAATCCTCATTTTCACGCGTATTCTTAGGGCCCATGTTCTTAGGCTATCTCCGCTATCTCCGCCCTGCAAATTCCCCAGTGACCCCCCAAATGTTTGCATTCATCCCATTTGCTGGATCGAACAACTAGTCAATGTTGGCAAACACCAACAATGAACAGCATCTTCCAAGACCATTCTTGAATGATGTTCAATTGATTTCCAGGTCCGAAATAAAACATACATGGAATTTCCAAATCTGAAGAAAATCATGTTCCAATCCAATTAAAATCCCATGTTAGCTTGAAATCCGGTGCCAAAAAAAACTCAAGCTTCTTTGACATGTCCAAATCCGGGAAAAAACGTTGCCCAATATATTCCAAGATCATTTTTTCGAACATCGAAAACCCCAAATCCAAACATATACCGAGTTATATGATGTATATATATATATATTATACATATAATATATACCTTTTTAGTTGCTTCACCCGCATTAAAATCGAAAAACACACCATTCAACCCTTATCCATCCTTATCCAATGTTGGACAATCCTCATTGTATGCCCGTGATACCATCATTTTTGTTGGTAGATTTCAAATTCTTACTTGTACAATCATCCTTATTTTAGTTGGTAAAAACACAATTTTGCTAGTAAAATCCAAAATCTTGTCAGTACAATCCACATCAGTGGGAACATCCACATTCTTGTTGCTAAACTCCCTCATTTTTCCCACAAAAACTCCCAGTATTATTGGTACAATTTACAATTTTACTTGGCCTGACCCGGGCCTTCGGAAGGCCGTGTTTTTCCAAGGTGCCAAGTCACCCAAGGCCACCTTGCCCTGTGCGCGCATGGCGTAGAGCTCTGCCAGCTCCTGCTTCGGGTGACGATCTTTGGGAGTTTCTATATGTAATATATATATATATATATATAATGTATATATATATATGTATATATATATATATAATGTATATATAATATATATATATATAATATATATATATGTATATGTATGTATATGTATGTACATATACTATATATATGGACATTTTTATTGATGGAACATAGAGATGACTGAGTTTGATGATTTAAGCGAGTCTTTATTGGTAGAAATTATTTATTTATAGGATGCTACAGCAACATGGAGCAACCAGAAGAAAACAATACAAGATATCGAACCGCAACAACCATCAGTCGAATTTCAACACCACCCAAAATCATCCAAAATCCGAGATTGAGCCAATAAGAAAGTGGCGTTTCACAAGCCAAACCTTCACAATTTTGCAGCTGATACAGCTCTCTATGTCCCCAATGGTTCCCCATCTCGTGGTCTTTTTGATCGTGGACCATTTCTCTAAATTGAATTGGTTGACCCAATCCGGAGTTGTCTTGAGCTTACCTGCAACAAACCTCCATTGGCTTGAACAAAAGATGGAAAAAGGACATAAACGCCATCCAATTGTTGGGTATATCAAACACATTCATTAGATACTCATTTGGGGGTTTCCTAAAATAGATGTAATTACCCCTAATCATCCCAAATTCGCCAATCTTAGATTATTTTGGTATTGAAACCCATGGTTTTGGAGTCCCCAAATTGTAGGAAAGCCCCAGGGCTGTCAACCCCGACTCCTCGATTTCGGAGCGGTCCATCCCCTCAACCTCCGGAGGCGGTTTCACCTCAGTGGACGCATGGGGGCCTGTGATGTCTCGAAGCTGCATGGCATACACACAATGACATTCATCACTCATATATACAACACCCACCCACACACACATATCCATATATAAATAATTATAAATATATATGCAGAAATTGATCAATGAGTATGGGTATGGGTCAAAGCCAATGGCCCAATATTTGGATTGTGATGATGATGATGATGATGATGATGGATGAAGATGCGCCTTTCTTGAAGCAGAATCAACTTTGTTTTCCTTCCTAGGCCTTCGACCAGCATCAGCTGCGCTAAATCCCATTTCCTCTCGCCTGTGATCAGTTGCATTCCATCCAAGCAGCCCCCGAACTGGAACTAGGATTTCACCAGCCAACATAGGGATTTGAGCAACAAGAATGGTGGTCTGATGGGGATATGATTTGAATGTTAATGGAATATGAATGGGATACAATGACAAAGTTTTTTTTTTTAATGGGAAACAAATGGCATATTGGTTGATGCCCTCCAGCAATCAACCATGGCAATGGGAACCGATGAATTGGCAGATTGGCAACTCATCGAGCTAAATGAGGATTCTCCAATTTCCGAGGGTACATGAACAAGTTATATACAGAATCATGCGGAAAGATACGGAAAGTGGGTATTTTGCAAGGATCAAAACGATCAATTTGTTCTGTAGCTCAATTGACCAGTATTGCTCGCCGGGGCCGGTGCTCCATTAGGAAGCTCCGGCTGGAGAATCTGACCTCGTTAGCAGCCACAGGGCCGCGCCTGCTTCCAAGTCTGGCTTTTCGTTGATCAAATGCTTGGTCAAGTCAAACAAACCTGGCACTGGAACTGTGGTGGAGCTGAAATCTGGAGTTGGATGTATTGCGAGATCTTAGCCTCATGGCAATTGCCCAGCCTAGCTGTCTAGCTGTCCACGTAAGTGAATTACCGATGTTCCAGGTGAAGACGGCCAATGCACTGCGGCACCCGAGTCGTCATTTCTACAACCGATTTCCCATGCTCACCGATGCTCACCGTAGTAGAGCATGGGGCAACATTTTCATCCAAACGGAGTGCTAGTTGCGAAAGAAAACAACTCTTATAACATTTGTGGTCCCAAAATTTTGGCCCATACCTATGTCTCCAAGCATCATGAGTACTGATTTGAAACCCGGCTTTGTCGATGAAATCCCCAATTAAATACAACATATTTTTTTGAATCACAATTTTTCTTCGTAAACTCACCATTTTTGAACATGGTCTTATGATGTCTTATGACTACTGTTGCAAAACCTCCCATTTTCTGGTTCGAGTCCCGCCCATAAAGGTGGCCCATTCCCAGGTTTTTCTCCATGGTTGAGGCCCCGTGGAACCTATGGAACCGATGGAACCCATGGAACCTGAGAACCCGGTGCTTTCCGAAGCTGGCTCCGCTGGAGCTTCCGCTTCCGCTGGCGTCTCCTGAGGTCGCAACATGGAACCTGATGCCTGGGACTTCCTTGGAGGACTTGCGAATGTTGGCCTAATACTCCTAAAAACTGGATATATATATATAATACATAACACACACACAGTGTCACACATACATACACACACACACATATATATATATGACATATGTATTGTATGATTATGTACAAATTATACACATAATAATCATTATCATAATGATAATAGTAACGCTAATAACTATATAATGATGAATAATACTCAAAATAACAATAAGGATAATAGATAATAGTAATCATCACATCATGTATATACATATGTATATATATATATCACTTGCCTTCCCTTTGTTTTTGTTTCTCCAAACACTAGTAGTTGATTAAGCCCGCCCAAGAGAAAAACATGGAAACACGATCCCGCATTAAGGACGGAATACAAGCACATGTTTGATGCATTTTGATACCATTGGAAACCATTTGGCAACTGATTTACAGTATATAATTAATCCATATTAATCCTAACCTCATCGTAGGCTAGTAGCATCCTCCATCCTCGTGGCCACTAAGCCATCATGCCAGAAGGGAACGTGTCATCATCCCATTCTCATCCTCATCATCTTACATGACCCATTACTGTAACCCATTATATACAGAATACCACGCGGCAACCTAACATCGTAACGGAACTCCCCGAATTATAGATGGGTTTCCTACAAAACACATTGTGCTTTTCCATTGCTATGTTGGACTACCAAAGGGTAGCAGTATCATGTTTGCTAGACTTAGACGGCCGCTATTTCCGGTTATATATATATATATATAACATCCCTGAATCTACAATCTACGGTACGCTTGAGATTTCCCGTCCTCTTGGTTGACGCCTTTGGTGGATTTAAAGTCCCAAACCCACCCTGTTCTTGTATTTTTTACTTCTCCAGCAGTTTGTAGATGATCCGTGCTTGGATCTATAAACCATAAGTGGGTTTCTTCATATTTCTTCCATATAACTGGGGTATCATATGGTCTCTGCGTCTTACCCACTTAACTCATCTTGGATCCCAAGTACCCCAGTTTCTATCCATTTTAAATCATTTTAAATGGGACCTCCCGAGGTGACTCTTCTGCAGGACTCTCAGCGCCTGAGGACATGGGGTCTCCTAATCCACCAAACAAATCGGGGAAGACCTGGGAAAGAACAGCCCCAAAATGAACTTAGTGGTCTCCAGCAGAAAAGTCCAGCAAAACACAAACATTCGCCAGGATAAGTTGGATGAGGACCATGAGTCCTATTAAGATCAGCCTTATTTTTTTACATATTTTTTAATGCTGTACTGCCATTTGCTACATCATGTTGCCGCTCCGATGATGGAGGTACTGCCGATAAGGAGGAAAGGAAACTCAGTACCCTTAGAACGAACTCCTGCGACACGCTCTGGGCAAAAGCTGCAAAGGTTGCATGATGCTGAAATACTGTACATGGTCTATATGTCAAAAAGTTTATGTGAGGATTTACTATCTTTTCAATAAATATATCATATATGGTCCATATAATCCAAACAGCATTTAGATTTCCAGCAAATTCATGCAAATTCATCATTCCCTGGTGCAACCATGGGGAAAATGACCCACATCACCGACGCACAGCCAAGAAACACATCACCTGGGATTTCTGGAATCTGAAAATTTCGCTCACCTGAAATACGATGAAATAATGTTCTATTGGAGATAATTACTACCTCGTACAATTCCCATGCATCCTCCGTTCTTGGTCCCCGTGGCCTTCCTCCGCGTCTGCGCGAGGCGACGCGTCTTCAGGTGACCCCTCGTCGTCGTCTTCGTCGTCCTCGGGTTCCGCCTGTCCAAGAAATGGTCTGTCAAGTAGCAAAAAATGAAGGAAAATTGGAGTAATGGAGTCACATGGGTTTAACACAAATAGGGATTTACAATGATTTATATACCACCCACCCAATTTATGACGTATTACGGTGTATGATGTTTAGGAACATGACGTATTTTCTTTCTCCGTAGGATGAAATAGGATGAAATAGGGCTCCAAATCTTGAGACAAAGTGTTGGCAACAGAAACGGCCACCCCACCACCACCTGAACTGACAGAACATGACAAATTGGGAGGAACAATGAAGAATGTTTCAACTTCTTCAAAATGGATTTATCCCCAAAACTAGGGGCTCCTAAATCCTCTGTGAATAAATCCCCCATTGCATCCCAGGACTGAAGCTGCTTCCGCGGAGCCGGTCCTGCGCAAAGTTGTCGGCCAATAACCTCAAAGGTGCCGACAATGGGCGGAACATGCAGGTGATGGGCTATGAGTTAGAATTGTTACTGATGTAACAAGTGGTGGGCATGATCTGCCAAGTCTTGCATGGACTTGAAATTGCCCACCAGACCTAATTGCCAATTGCTACAATAGGTTCGCTCATATTTTCCAATACACTTCGAATATTTTTTTGGGACGGGTCAGCATCATATAGAATATCATATGGAAACACATGACATAGGTACCATAACTATGGAAAATCACCATTTTAATGGGAAAATCCACTATAAATAGCCATTTTCAATAGCTATTTTGACATAACCAGAGGGTAGGTTTTTGACTTCTCAAACTCTATTCATAGGTATAGAACATGTGTACACTTGAGTCTAACCGTCTCCCGTGATCATGCAACGCCAAAGGCACTGTTCTTTCAGGACCGTCTGCCTTGCACTATGAGTGGTCTCTGAGGGTCGCGGTGGAGGGTGAACATCAAAGTGGAGTCAGGGTGGATACTCCAGGGTGTGCTGAACATTGCGAAACAGCTCGGCCTCTTCTTCGAAGTCACCCTTCTCTTTTTCTCCTCAGGCAGAGGATGGCGAAACTGTCGTATCCGTCGCCAGTCTTGGCCATTTTCGCCATACTCCGAAAGTAGGTAGGTAAAAAGGAGTAATGTTGGCTGCCTAATAGTAATTACCCCCCCCCACCCCCCTATTTTTTTTTTAAGGGAGGGAGGGGTCAACCTTCCTATAATAATTTTTGGGAATCTATAGCTGGGATCATGATATGTATCTGATAGATTCTCCATGGTTTTGTTGGGTTTCTGATAGATTCTGAATGGATTTGGTTGGGTTTCTGAGAGATTGGCGAAGAGTTGGGAAAGGAGAAGGAGGAGGAGAAGGAGAAGGAGAAGGAGAAGGAGAAGGAGGACAACAAAATTGGAGTTGCGGAAAAAACGTTTCCACTATTGCCATGCCTGGTGCAGGTTTGTTATTGCTATTCTGGGGCTTGCAAAGGGGGTACCCTTTGTGGACCTGTTTTCTTGCTTTTTTTAATAAGGGTATTATAAGGAAATCAGCTGTTTGGTAATTGGATCAGATTTCTGGAATCTAAGCTTTTGCTAATCAAAAGTGAAGGCTGCTTTGAAAAGGATTTGCTTTACTTGACTCTTTTGGCAATATAAAAGTAAATGGAGCTATATAATTGACTTTTAGTATTGGAGAAAAAATTGAAGTTGGGAAAACAGTTTCCACTATTGCCATGTTGGGTCCACTATTGGCCATGTCCTCTGGACAAGGTCTGAACATGACTCTTTTGGCAATACTAAAAGTAAATGTAGCTAATTGACTTTTAGTATTGGAGAAAAATTGGAGTTGCGGAAAAATGTTTCTACTATTGACAAGATATCACTATTGGCTAGACAACATTAAGAATGACGGAATTTGATGTGGCCAATCCAACAATCCACTCGACTTCATGATCTATTCTCCAAATTCTCCATCAAAATTAGGTAGTTTGGTGGGAGATTCCTATCATGTATCAAGCAAAACATCCCGGTTTAGCATAGGTTTAGCCTTTTTTTTTTGTGGATGGCTGCCCTTGGCCCTTGCCAGCTCCCTACGTCTCCTTTCCCTTGCCCTTTTTCTTTTTGATCTTCTTCGTCGCCTCGACCTCCTTCCGGTGGAGCCAGGGCGGCCAGTTGACTGGGAACACGGTCGGGGGTTTTCATAAATGGGATGCCCAAAATGGAGAGTTTATAGAGGAAAATCCTACTAACATGGATGATTTGGGGGTACCAAAAAAATAACCAGCCACATACTTACACTAACCCCTGTTGTTGGGGCTTGGAAAATGCATATAGGCCCGTTGTTCTACATGAATGAACATGAATCAACCCGTGCTCCCAAAGGGCGCCTCTGCCTTCTCTTGTCGGTGGAGGGCCAACCTGGAGATTGCGAATTGGGGCCATGAAAGTGTTGCTTAGTCACCATAGGTATAACATGGTACAACTTATCATAGGCGACCCGAAAATTATGCTATACTTGGATTGATGGACATTTTTTAGTGATTTTTTGGGTATACTTGGAGGATAATCCCACAAGTCCTAACTGTTTGGTAACCACAGCTATGACTCAACTGTACATAGGATAGCCACACGAATGACGGACTTGCTGACCTGGGTTAACCAGTCACGATCCAGCCTGAAGCCTCATCGAACTGGACTGCGGAATGTGTATATATATATATATTATATTACATATATATATATATCACTTGGGGATGGGTCACAACGTCAAAAAGCAAGGTTTTAGGGTCTTACATCACAGCATAGCTGCAAGAAATATGAACCTTTATGAACCTGTATCATTTCAGGGCTACGAATCATCCAATCAAATCCAATCAACACCAAAAAGCTGGTGTCAGTGGATTGGTGTTTCCGGGGACAGTGAAAAAGGACCACCCCACATTTCCATGGGAAAAGCCATGGTTTCTCAGATTTCTCAGTAAGATTTTCCCTTAAACCAATCCATTGATGATGATCTTCCCATTTTTCTCAGCTCCTATTGGTTCATCGGTTCTCGCCCAGCGGCATGTACTGCACTGCTTTGTCGCAGTTCTCTAGGGCCCCCTGGTGATCGCCTGCAAACCACTGGTCTGTGAAAGGTGAGGTGCCTAAGAACAATGGCTATGGATCTGGGGAAATTGTAATATGTCACTAACCTGAATCTTGCGGCCATTTGGGGATGATTCCCCTATACTTACTAACCATCATTCCAGGGTTCGGGAGAACAGTGGGGCCGTGATCAAATTTACCCAGATGGATGGTGGATGTTGAACGTGACCAAACAACTTGGTATAAAATGTGACATGTAACCAGTGAAACTTGACTTTCTAAAATTAAGGAGTTCGATGAAGCGCAAAAGTGGTCGATGCGAACAAAGGGCAATCTCTTTGGAAGGGAAAAACAGGTGTGCACCCAGCCACGTGCATTTGAAACATCCGTTAAAACATCGTAAAATCACTTTTGGATATTGTTGGATGGGGCTTAGATGAATATAGATCCAAACGATGGTACAGTACAAGTCTCCTGCTCAGAATCATGTTTTCCAAATTCTTAGTATGTAGCTGCATCTGGCTCTCCATGGCTCGTAGGGAATATGGATACACGCATAGCTCCGAATTGCTCTGCTCCCTCCAAACCACTCGATAGTTACCCTCCAGTAATTTGTTACAGAGCTATTGAACATCACCCATTTATAATCATTTATAGCTGATTTACTTACTCACAATTGTGAGTTTCTATCGCTAGTTGTTGGTTTACCAGAGGGCAAAATAAACAATATTATTAATGCTAGCAAAGCAATAGCAAACCATCACCAAATTTACAACACTATGGGATATGAATGGATATTGTGGCTGGTTTATGACATTGCTTTACTAACATTGGAAGGTACTGGGGGTAAAACAATAATAAACCACCCATTTGGGAATGGTTTATGCCACCTATTATGGTGAAATTGGGTATGGATTTATTATTGTTTTACCAACATTATAAGATTCTATAACTGGGGTTTAGTGAAGTGGGTGGTTGATCTTGTTTTACCAACATTAATCTTCCCTTCACCGCACAAATCTCACCCGCGCCCAGAACCGGCGATCCCCGACCCAGTTTCAGTAGCGCCGCTCCCAGGGTGGACATGGCCAAGCGGCTCTTCTCCTCGCGCCGAATCAGCATGGCGAGTCTCGAGCCGGGAAAACAAGGCCCGTTTTAAAATCTAGTGGCAAAAGCATGTTTCACTATGTTTAACCAACGGAAAGGAGGGTTTAATTATGGTGTGATTATGGCTGAATCATGGTTTATAATGGTTTCATTGTGGTTCATTGTTGATATAGCTGATTGAAGCGGATGTATGCTAGCTAATTTGGCAAACATAACTCCAACGAGTGTTGGGTTTGTAGTGGAAATACGGAACTAGTTCACAGAGGGGTTGCAAACTGGCTTATAATTGGGGGGCACCACTTTGCACGTGGCTTTGTGCAAGAGGGTCCCCAAATGGAATTGGTTCCGCATCATTTCTTCCCTCCACCAACCCTATATATGTTCGAGGAAGATCCTTTAAACCAAATCACCCAACCATGTCATTTTTCCCGCAATTGATCTTTCCTCTTCCCATCTCGCAAGGCTTTCATCCGGATGAGTTCCAATAATTGCAAACAAAGATAGCTATGGAACATCTATAATTTCAATAGTCAAATTCACGAACTAAATGGGCCAGGGCTTCAAAAGCAAACGGGAACAAATTACTGCATAGAGGGTATATATCCCATTCATATCCGTTAAATCACGAATAAACATCCCTTAAAACCACATTTTAAAATCCAATGGGGATAGTTACCCCGTTCTAAAGCCATCATTTACGACATTGGCAGTTTCCCAGCAATTTCCAGGTGCCTCAAGGTGCAATGCTTGCTGGCAGTCATCAGCCGCTTCGCGGTAGCTCTTCTGCGACCTCGAGGACTTCGCCCTCTTCGTGGACGGATTTTGACGGATTTTGATCAATAAATCTACACATCATGAGCAAAAGAAAACATCAACAGAACACATGGGATATTTACAGTGCCTGATGCACCTGCAAACAAACGTGATATACAAGAGTTGTTGGTCCTAAGTGAGAGTAGGCTTCTGGAAACATGGGGATTGTACCAGTAGGTGACGGTGATATGAACCAACAACCGTTGGCAAATATGAAATTAGCAGGGAGCTTGAGATATCAATATCCCCATAGTTTCCACAATTATCCAGCAGTTTATCACTGTCACTCGCACCAAACCACTTTTTTTTTGCCGGGGCTTCTCAGAGGGTTTGCCCCAAACCACTGTAGTAGCTAATTAATTTCTTTCATTCTCATTCTCATTCTCATCCTCATCCTCATCTTCATCATCATCATCATCAACATCATCATCATCATCAACATCATCAACGTCAACATCATCCACTCATTACTATATACTAATTATCACTATCATGTGGTTGGAAAACTCACCTTGTAGCTCCAATTGTCTCCCCTTTGAATTTCGGGAGTACGAAGGTTTCCCAAAATGGGGGTACCCCCAAATCATCCAATTTAGTTTGTTTTTTTTCCATGAAATAAACAATGCAGCTATTGGGGCCCCATGGAAACCCCCATATGAATAATGCGGGTAAAACAATAATAAGCCATCCCCCAAATCACCATAGATAGGTGGTATAAAACATTCCCACATGGGTGGTTTATGGCATTGTTTTACCCACATTACCCCTAGCTCCAAATCATTCCCTCCACCGAAATCACCGATCCGAGCTGCAACCGGGCTCGCCCTCGCGTGGCCCAGGCGGTAGCCTTTGCGAGATGTGAGATCCTGTAATGTAGGGTCATTAGTATCTACATATATATATATATATATCTGGGTAAATTATAATATTTCACTAACCTGAATCTTGCGGCCATTTGGGGATGATTTCCCTTACTAACCATGATTTCCAGTGAGGTCGTAGTGAGGTCATTATAATTTACCCAGATATATATAAAATCCAGGCCAAAAAAGATAGAATTGCTTTTCTATCATTTTTTTTGGGGTCATTATGATTGTTATTTATTGTTCAGGGTCCAAACAGTGTTTGCAATAGATATTAATAGACATGTTTTGCATTGTTTTGCCCTATTGTGGTCCCATTTATTGTCTATATGTAGTTGCAATTCACATAGTTATATCTATTGTCCCTGGTAAAAACAGTTTAGGGCTTGTAAAATTAATAGAGATGAACCTGATATAGATATCGCTGGATTTGTTTCACCCGTCTCATTTACTGATGCGCAAACCACCACTACGTATATATAGATGATCTGTTTACTTGAGTTTGAAATTTCAAATCATATCAATTGTATGTGTGGCGGGCGTTGAAAGGGAATGCCGTTCAATCATAACATACCATTGCAATGAATAATTTTGCACTTCCCACACTGGGTCGTGTTTGAGTTGTATCATATCAAGATTGGATTGCCACAGTGCATGTTGGGATGGCGCCTGCAAAAATCGCCAGCAACCAGCCCACCGAACCTTTTTTTTGGCACTGCAAGGCATACGGATCTTAGACGTATGCCTCTGTTTCACTTGATATTTTGATATCTTTTTCAAGCCAAAAAACCCAAGAAACATCAAGAAACCACGTATTTTCCATAGGTTTTTGATGGTTTTCCCATGGTTTTCCCAGCCCTTTTCGGCGCCGTCGTTGGATCGGCCCCCGGGCACTCTCCGGGATGGCCCTCAAGGCAGCGCTACAGTCCAGCTCGCATGCGGCGAAGAAGCCCAGTTCTCAGCCAGGGGTTGGCTGTCAGTGGAGTGTTTAAACCATTGGGATGACGATATATATATATATATATTCATACAATTTACATACTATAGTGGTTTATTTTCATATAGTACATCACAGTGGTTTACTATATGATATATATATATACACTATATAATCTCTGTACATATATATATATATTCATGTATATCGTTTATATGATTTTAAATGTATATATTTGTACTTGGTGTACTGATAAGAAATATTGTTATAATATAGTTATAACTAGAGTTTTTTTTAAACATGATTTGGTTGGTGTATACATTTGCATATATACGTTTGCACATATATATCTATGTATATATATATATATTACCCTCTGGTAATTTAACATCGCTATTGAAAATGGCCATGGCCATAGAAATAGTTGATTTTCCCATTAAAGATGGTGATTTTCCATTTCGTTATGTACACGTTTACCAAAGGGTATAGGTTGCATGCGTTTTGGCATCTGATACACTGCGAAGCGCTGATCTCAGCATCCCACGCAGTTGCGCCTGGCCGCGGATGAGCATGGCCTGTGCACGGGGAACGTCCTGGGTCACCCTGCATCTGGTCCATCCTGGCAGCCTCCACTGTGTGGGTAGTAAGCCTAGTATACCTCAATTATATATATATACATAAAATAGTATATACATAAAATAGTATATATATATATAGTATATATATATAGTATATATATAGTATGTATATATATATAGTATATATATATATATATACTATATAAAGTTAATTCTAGATCGCTTTTTCCAAGCCTACCTTTTTGTAGGTAAAGCTGGTTAAGCGTCAGGGTTTTAGCTGGCTAAATCCTGGATGCAGCTTCAATCTTTAGGGATATACGGATTAAATTCCAATGTTCGTAGCTTAAGCATCCCATTTGTGTACCCTCTGGTAAACTAACATAACTATGGAAAATCACCATTTTCAATGGGTAAATCCACTATTTCTATGGCCATTTTCAATAGCTATGTTAGTTTACCAGAGGGTAGCTCAAGTCTCCAAACTTTGTTTCTCAAACCTCCAGGTACCCTTTGGGTGAAAACTCGAGATTGGTGGTGAAGTAATGCCTTGGCTACTGAAATGGGTGGCACCATTCAAATACGCTATTACCAAATTATAACAACTTCATGGTTTTCCCCCTAAGTAATCAACCGGGGTCTTTAGGCAATCAATGTTCAACCCAAAGCTGGGAAGCATCAAACCATCATTGGTGATATATATATATATATATATCCCCAGTAGATCCCCATTAGATATTGATATGTTTCAAAATGCGAAATCATGTCAAATTTAGCTGACTTAAAACATGTGATTCCTGATATTAAGATCATTATGTCATAACTCATTTGCTAAGAACATGTTTTAAGCATTTTTAAGCCTGGCCCATCATGACATCACATGTATTTTTCTGGTTTTTGTGCCACATCCTTTCCGACCCTAGTGACGCACCTCATGCAGCTCCTTGTCATGCAGCAACGCGGAGGTGCAGGACATGCAAACCTCCTGGGGGTCTGCAGCCTGACCTTGGTGCCCGGTGTTCCCATGGAGTGTTCAAAAAAACCATCACTGGGATGATGAAACATAACATATATATATGTATATGTATATGTATATGTATATGATTGCATATGATGTATATTATGTGGGCAATTCTACTTGTGGAATATTGCTTTATAGAGATTTCGCCCAGAAATACCCAGAAGGACTGGGATCCAACCCCAGAACTTGGGGTACTCATCAACAACACGGAGGGCATTTATTCCATTCCCCTTGTATTTTTCCCATTCTGTGGTCCCAAATATGTGATTCCATCCCTTACGTTTTATCATTATGGTTCATGGAAGAAATTTCATATGAACGGGGCAGGGATTTGTGGTAACTTACTGCTGGAGTTATAATAGTGCAAGTAAAAACTGTTCCCAAAATATAGTTCCCCCTGTAACCCTTCTATTTTTTGATGGGATTACTATATAGGCACGTAAATGCTATGATATCCTAATATGCCGTTTCCGATACAAATGAAGGCACACACACACACAATCTTAGACATTTCTATATGCTGTCTCCAAAGCCCAGTACTAGGAAGATTGGGCAAGCAATGCGTACTTCCCTAACATTGCTTGCGTTCTAGAAGACCATTCTGACAATGGTGGAAACACACATCTTGTGCCTTTCTCAAGTTGAAGAAATTACAAAACCATTGGTTTCCAAACCGAGATCTTCAACCACTGTCTCTCTCCATTGCCATCCCGGAGGTTCAGCATCTACTATGTGTGTTTCTGTTTTTTTTCCTGGTGGAATGCTGGCCTTTTTTGGGAACACCCGCCACCAGCACACCCCTCTGCGCCCATTTTGGTCTCTGAATGATTTCTTCAGGTGGCCCAAACCTGGCACGGATGGACTAGGGAGCCCAGGGTGCAACAAATACCACTTTTCCAAGGTACCAAGCAGTTTTTGTCCAGTTATTCTGATGATATGTTTTTTTTTGAAAAAGTGATACAGTATCGGTGGATTCGTCCCCTACCCTCTAGTAATTTGATATGGCTATGGAAAATCACCATGCAATGTTTAATCGGTAATTCATCTGTCATAAGGGCCATTTTCCATAGCTATGTTGAATTACTAGAGGGTGATCTAATATTCCCTGAATTTGTAGCAATTTTCATGGCCAAAATGATGATGGTTTGGAGGGAACAATACCCCGAGGGTGGCCTCACCAACGAGGGTGATTACTTTCCCACGAGTTGCAAAAAGGGGTGGTGGGGGAAATACGAGGAAAACAGGAACGGAATCGGCCCATGATTTAGGGTAAAGTACCGAATTTTGGACAAATATATATATATATATATAGTTATATATAGGATATATAGGTGAAAACCATGGTTTTCCCCTCGGGGACTGGGATGAATACCCATGTAGCCATCCCAAAGCAACCCAAATCCTGCAATCTTTGCCATGGTGTGGGGTCGGTCACGCGCAACTCAGCGCGCGCGCGACAGAAGTACACCCTTGGCAACCCAGGGCCCATATGTGAATGTTGAATGTGTTGGGAAAACTGTGTTGTAACGAAGCATCATGGGCGTATCTGCCAAGGATGGTGTGTTAAACTTCGGTATTCAGCGTTCCTTCTTCAAGTTCCGCTTGAGGAACACCAAACCCTGCCCAAAGTTGGCTGCCTTTCGTCTTCTCCCTTGGGGAGTCCGACAAGAAAAGGCGCTCCAAGGCAAAAGGAAATGACCTTCGATATCCTTGGATGATATCGCACATCTCAGGATGTACACAGTCTCAAAATGTATGAGGACAAAACCGCATCGGAACAGGCATTTGTCGGGTTTCTATGTGGTTGATGAACTTGCGCACCAATTTTCAGAACATCAACATGGCATAACATGGCCAAACGTCTTCGAAACCAAATCATCCAAAGCAGGTCAAAAATTCTGGAATCCCTTCTCACAGCCTTTCTTGTCAAACTGCAGGGTTTCCATCCCAAGACTGCCATTGGTTTGGCTCGAAAGTAGGGTCATCCAACTCAGCCTGGTGGGGTTGGTCACTGGCCCATGGGTTTCCAATGGTTTCCAGTTCACCAGGTAGACCAAGCAGCATCAACCAGCTACTAATGAGAAGGCCACAGGGCAGTTCACCTGTTTACCATGCAGCTACCGGTCATGTTTTTGCAAACCACTACCCTACTATTAGTGTATACTTGCCACTTGTTGCTGAAGTGGGGTGGCTCAAACATTTTCAATTGCTATCCAGCGCAATCAAATCACATTCGGGACCGGACCGTCCTTTATAAAATTATCCCGACAAGAGACCCCAAACAGTGTTGCAAGGAACATGAAGAAGAGATGCCAGGTTAGATTCTGCAAGTTCAGTTTTGTGAAGATTTCAGTAGAAACTGCTGTGCAAGATACCTTTGTAAGGCTATCTGTACGAGGTGCCTATAAGAGACCTCAAAGAAAGATCTCGGTTCAAACTCTCTATAAAAAATATCCGTGCAGGATCTCTGTTCTCTTCCCCGCGTCTCTGTACAAGATCTCTATAGGTGGTCTCCTGGCAATATCTCTGTAAGAGACCTCTTGGCAAGATCTCTGTACAAGCTCCCCACAAAAAGGTCTCTTGGCAAGATCTCTTTATGAGATCTCTGTAGAAGCTCTCTAAAAGAACTCTCTTGGCAAGATCTATGTAAGAGACCTCTTGGCAAGATCCCTGCAACAGATCTGTATGCACTGTCTCTGTGCAAGATCTCTATAGGAGGTCTCCTCACAAGATCTCTGTATATACAAGATCTCTATAAGAAGGCTCTTGGTAAAATCTCTGGAAGAGACCTCTTGGCAAGATCTCTTTGAATACAGATCTTTAGAAGAGGTCTCTTGGCAAGATCTCCGTACAATCTCCCTATAAAAAAAAAGGTCTCTTGGCCGTAGAAGCTCTCTATAAGAACTCTCTTGGCAAGATCTATGTAAGAGACCTCTTGGCAAGATCCCTGCAACAGATCTGTATGCACTGTCTCTGTGCAAGATCTCTATAGGAGGTCTCCTCACAAGATCTCTGTATATACAAGATCTCTATAAGAAGGCTCTTGGTAAAATCTCTGGAAGAGACCTCTTGGCAAGATCTCTTTGAATACAGATCTTTAGAAGAGGTCTCTTGGCAAGATCTCCGTACAATCTCCCTATAAGAGGTCTCTTGGCTGTAGAAGCTCTCTATAAGAGCTCTCTTGGCAAGATCTATGTAAGAGACCTCTTGGCAAGATCCCTGCAACAGATCTCTATATAGGAGGTCTCCTGGCAAGATCCCTGTGCAAGATCTCCATAAGAGGTCTCTTGGTAAGTTCTCTGTACAAGCTCCCTATAAGAGGTCTCTTGGCAAGATCGGTTTCAAAGATCTCGATAGCGAGATGACAGGCTCAAAGTGCTGAGAGTTTTGCGTGAGCCATCTCAAAATGAGCACTGCACCAGAACGAGAGCGATCTGACAGACCCAAAGTGCCGAGAGGGTTACGCGAGCGATCTCAAAATTCGCACTGCGCCACAACGAGAGCGATCCGACACGCCCAAAGTGACCAGAGGTGTTAGATTTTCACAAAACATTGCGCGAACCACGAAAAATGAACATTGAACATGCCAAAAACGATATTTTAATATATTTTACCTAGGTTTCGGGGACTTTTTGACAGAGGTCTATAAAGTACTGCGCCTGCCACGAAAATGAGCCCGAGGCATCCGAAGTGCTGCGCCTACCACACGGAATCATCATCATGTCCAAAAACAAAAACGACGACCATTTCACAAAAACGAGGACCTTTCGTTGTCCAAATTCTTCCAGATTCACCAACTTTTGCGCCCACGAAACATGAGCTCCAAAACCACCTCTCATTTTGAGCCACGCCTGCCAACGTTTTAGCAACATGCAGAAAGTGCTGTGCCTGCCACACAGAATGGACATAGCTCCAACAACCACCTCGAATGAACCCCAAGGCCTTAACATGCCTTAACAATGCCTTAACCATTACCGTGAGAATTTTCACTGTGGCCACACTGTTTGGGGAAAAACCAAACACATCATCAAACATCCCACATGTCATGAAACTTTCAAACACATCCCCCCAAGAATAGCAATTTTCATGGAGATTCATGGGAATTTCATGGGATTTTCGGAACTCCACCCGTGCTTGGCTTCGCTCTACGATGTCAGCACCGGCCGCCGAGCCGCCTCAAACTTGGGGTAGAGCCTCCACCTCCTGCGGCCAAACTATGGGGAACATGGGATTTATAGATGAATAGATGGACATGAGATGATATAACTTAACCAACATGAAAAGTTCGGGATATTTATTGATACACAAACCATCATTTCTCGTGACATCGTGGTGACATTTTTTTGGGGCAAAGATCAGGAAACATTTGACGCTCAGCATTGGCGAACAGAGTTTAGACACATGGAGGTTTCCTGAAATGGGGGTAAGCTCAAACCATCCAAAATTTTAATTAAACATAATTAAACCATATTAGATATCATTCTCGTATTAAAACCCATGGTGACTTGGGGACATTGGGCTCAAGCCCTGCGGATCTTTGAGTAATGTTGGAACTCATCTCCACACAAGGCTCCTATGATCTCTGGTAATCCAACATGCAATCACACATGGCAGTGGGAGATTCCCTATAAATATTATAAATGGAGATTCAACATTAATTTAAATGGGAAACAATGGGAAACCATCAACCTCTTTTTTGGGGATTGTCCCTTTGCCATGTTTGATTGCATTTTTTTTGGGCGGAACGTCATCTGGGTAACCTGTGGGAACCCAACCTGGACGTTTTTCTTTGCTTGAATCCCCTTGGGGAATTTTCCAGCTAGCTACGTTTGATTACCGAGGGTAACCGGGTAACCAACATAAAATTGCAACGTGCTGATACCATGCACACACACACACATATAATATATGATTATAATATGTATGCGAATAAACAAATAAATAGATAAACAAATAAACAAATAAAACACAACTAAATACATAAATAAAATTATATATATATATATGTAATACATATATATATATATATACATGTAATATATATATATATACATGTAATATATATATACATGTAATATATATATAATATTATATATCATATTATATATCATATCATATTATATTATATCATATTATATATCATATTATATTATATTATATTATATCATATTATATAATATATTATATTACATTATATAATATATTATATTATATTATATTATATTATATTGTGTGTATATGTGTGTGTTATACATATCTGGGGATGTGAATAGATATTAAGGCTTTAAAAAAAGAGGGGGGATTGACCACACCGCGGTGGTTTCCACCGTCGCCTGGGAGGCCAACTGCCAGCGTAGCTCACGACAGGCGGTCTTTAGGCGCTCCGAGGGGTGCAGGTGCCAAAAGGTGCTGAACAACTTCCCTGGGACCGATGGGATTTTCCCTGGATTCCCTGTGAAAACGTGGAACTGGACAAAACCTGCATGCTATCTGGGTATATCAACGAACTTTCGACTGGGCAATGTTCCAGTTCGCAAACTGTAGACGTTTACCAGAGGGTAAATGCCATTCATATGGCATTGAATCACCATAGATCCCATTAAATCACTATAACATCCCTATAAAATGAGGAAATTTCTGGATGAGTTGTTCAGGGGAAACTCTACAGGAAATGTCAGGAACCCACCCAAATGGTGAAGACCATCGTGGAGTTCAACAGCAACCTGTGGGATTCACTGGAAATAAGCTGCTGGAAATAGTGCTAGCAATGGGTAGGATCCCATCCATTGGAAGGACAATGAAGCCGAAGTCGTTGGTTGGTCAATCCATAGTTTTTCAGTTTGAAGAT